AACCCGCTATCGCGAGAAAACGTTTTTCAGAGTAAAATAAAGCAGAAGCCAGGAAGCTTAACGATTTCTGGACAGTAATGCCACCAGAAACCGCAACCAAGCTATAACGTTTGTCGACCTATTCAGCTCAATTTTTTTCTTCCATCCCAACCCCAGACTCACTACAAACAAATGCTCCGGCTAACTACTAATTAAGCCCTCGAAACTCTGCGCAACCTTTCGGTCAAAAATTATGGACAATAATTATCCTCAACTGATGTCAGTTTCTTACGCATAGCATACAACATTACTGTAAAGGTATGACCAAGTAAGATATTCTACTACATTTTAGCTAACAATTCCAGCAAAAAGTTCAACCGTCTGCAGGTGGCAATGCTTTAATTTTGCTGCTTTCGACAGTGCTGCTGCCACCGCCAACACCGCTGGGATCGCAGTTTTCCAAATCACCACTGGGACTGTCGGAGGGCTGCTGACGGCCAATCGCCAGAAATATTACTCGCAGTAAATTTTCCAGTTTTTTCAATGGCGAATAATGGTGCTGCATTTTTCGCAGACAAATCTTGATTGTTTCCATTCGCTGAGTAGTCGGTGGAGAGAACTGAAAGATTTCAACAGTGTTAGTGCCCTCCGCAACAGGAAAACGATGAAATGCTTTTGAATTCCTGCACAAGTCTCTTTTCTAAATAATTTATCAGAATCATCTACCAGAAAACAAAGCATACAGGACCTGAGCAAGGAAGAGCATTTTCGGAGAGTGTTTTACCATAAGTATTTCCCTCAGTAGCGCAGATTGGCACTTTTTATGCGTTTTGTGCTGTGAAACAGCGTTACAAAACGCATACTGTCACGGGGTTGTCTGTGTGTGTGTCCCACATTTCGTCCCGCACTTTCAACTCGGGAACCACAAAAGCTAGACGGCTGAAATTTTGGTATAGTGTTCCCCGCCAACGGGTGACGCGGCAAATTTAAATCCAGCCTTTCCGTACCCGCGGGTAATACGTACGGCCCCGTGAAAATTTTTTACGGGTAAATTATTATCTCTGGAACCCCGGGGTCTAGGAAGCTGAAATTTTAGGGTAATGACCCCCTACCCACGCTCAACCTTGCCCATTCAAGTTCAGCGTCTCCATGCTCTCGGGTATCACCTACAGGCTAAATTATCCCTCAAGCTTGCCTATTCAAATTCAGCCTTCCCGTACCCGTGGGTAACACATACGGCTCCGTGAGAGTTTTTCACGGGTAAATTAATATCTCAGGAACCATGGAGTCTAGAAGGCTGCAATTTTAAAGTAATGACCCCCTGCCCACGCCCAACCTTGCCTATTCAAATTCAGCGTTCACTAGCTGTTGAGTATCACCCACGGCCTCGTAAGAATTTTGGAGGTCAAACTATTAACTCGAGAACTACGGAAAGATATTCACCCTTCAAGGTTTCGAATTCAGCTTTCATGCGCTGGTGCATGAAATTTTTAACTATTTTCCAATTTTTGAACTATTTTTGTATAGGCAAAAGTACAAAGCAGTGAAAATCATTAATAGGCAATCGTTCGATGGGCTGAATTGCACAAAACACATGATCGCGCCGACTAGTCTGGTGCGCGTTGCTACTTGTGTTAAATCTAGAACTCGAATTGCAAAACGGCTGCATCATACGGAATGTGAAAGGGTTTATTAAGTGAAGCAAGAGTTAAATACAAGAACGCATACTGACGGGAATCTGCCGTGTGTATGTGTAAGTGTGGGTGTGTGTTTGTGTGTGTATACATATCTGTACTCGGATTTTGTCACTTTAGCTTCATGAGCTGGAACTTTACGAGGATGCTCTTTGTCTAAGAGCTATTTGTAGATTTCAAATTTGGCTTTCACATGCGCTTACTACATGCGTACGAATACGTCAAGGGTGTTTTTGATGGAGGACGATTTCGGGAACCAGTCAGATTAGGAATACGGGTGTTCCCCGTCTATATGCCCTTTAAAGATTTCGAATTCAGCATTGAAGCGTGCCTAGATCTCGCGTATTCGGAAGTGGAAATTCAAGTTGGGATGCTGTGGGCAGCTTTTTATCTC